GGCCGCCCGCGGCGGGAAGGCCGGGAGACGCTGCACCGGCTGGTGCGTAAGGGCATTCACTGCACCTATGTGATGATCAACGCCATTTCTTACGTGCTGCCCGAGGTGAGGAGCAGAGCGGGTCTGTGCTGGGGGGGTGGCAGGCTCGGGGGAGGCTGCAGCCGGCAGCCATAAAAGGTGCTGACAGATCCCTGTGCTTCCCTGCCAGGTGTCCAAAGTTCTGCTGGGAGCCCACGCGCTCCTGGCCAACGGCTCTGTCATGTCCCGGGTGGGGACGTCGCAGATAGCGCTGGTCTCCAAAGCCTACAACGTGCCCGTCCTGGTGTGCTGTGAGACCTACAAGTTCTGCGAGCGAGTGCAGACAGACTCGTTTGTCTCCAACGAGCTGGGTATGGTTTTTGTCCCTCCCACCTGGGACCTGTTCCCCCTTCCTGCTGCTAGCCGGGACGGGGTGATCTGCCCTGCCATTCCCCTTGCTGGCCGAGGGGCTTGCAGGAGGGGTGGCCTGGCAGGCAGCAGTGGTGCGTGCTCCCAGAGCAGGATGGAGAGGTGCTGTCCCTCCCCCTGATCCTGCTGGCTGCTCCTCTCTTCACAGATGACCCCGATGACCTGATCGTGCTCCGGAAGGGCCAGGCCCAGCTGGGTGGCTGGGCAGAGAACAAGTCCTTGCGCCTCCTCAACCTGGTCTATGATGTGACGCCGCCTGACCTGGTGGATCTGGTCATCACAGACTTGGGCATGATCCCCTGCACCTCGGTGCCTGTCGTCCTGCGCGTCAAGAACGTGGATCAGTAGCAGGGGCAGCTGCAGGGACACTAATAAAGCAGGTGCCACGATACACCTCGTCTGCCTTGTGTGGTGTGGCAGGAGCCCCGGCACCCCGTGTCACCACAGGCTCAGCTCTGCACTTGCCTTGGGCATGCTGGCACTTGTGCCCAGCTCTGCCCGGCCCCCCGTCGTCTGCCTTGTGTGGTGTGGCAGGAGCCCCGGCACCCCGTGTCACCACAGGCTCAGCTCTGCACTTGCCTTGGGCATGCTGGCACTTGTGCCCAGCTCTGCCCGGCCCCTCGTCTCCCGCTTCAGGCTGCAGCAGGGAAGAACCTTTCCGGCCCCTGGGCCCCTCCTCGGACCTGGGGG